AAAGGAAAGAAAGAAAGAACGAAAGCAAACAAGCGAGGGGGAGAGAGAGAGAGAGAGAGAGAGAGAGAGAGAGAGAGAGAGAGAGAGAGAGAGAGAGAGAGAGAGAGAGAGAGAGAGAGAGGGCATGAAAAGACACCATGTAAGCTCAGAGAAAGGGTACAGAACGTGAGCAAAAAGTCAAACATGACATCAATGAAAGCAAACAGAGAAAAGCTAGCAGTGATGGACAATGTGCGGGCTTTCCAGTACATGCGCCCCCACTTCCTTCTTGCTGAAAATAGCTTCCTGTACTCAGGCCCATCTGATTACCTCCCCTGTTCTGTCTCTACAAGTGTGGCTTAAAAATGTTAAACACACACAGCAAAAGAGATGAAGAAGGTTTGCAGCTGAGCAAAAACAAAAACAAAAACAAAAACAAAAACAGGTCTGGATGCCTCCGTAGCTAATGGGGCATTCCATACCTGTGTGGTGCTGGCTCTCCAGCTATGGTCTTCACCCGAACATAGTGCCTGGTCATTATAGCTGCATCTGGACTGAAAGTTGCCCCAAATACAGCTATAATGACCTGGCGACGCTGGCGTTCTACTCGGGTAAAGACTGTAGAGCCGTGGAACACTCTTCTGGGCATATTCTTACTGGTGAGCACTGCCAAGCAGGGGCTCGGGTCTGGTCGTGCACTGTCTGGGGCAAGGTTCTACTTGCACGGACTTTTTGTCCTGGATCGTAGATTACGAGGATGAACGGCAAGGAACTTATGATCCAACACTGTAGATTGCGACAATCAGCGCCCAGGAACAGAGAATCCCATGAGTGTAGATCACGAGGATCGACCGCCAGAAACACAGAATCAGCGACTGTCAAGGAAGAGGCTCTGAACTGCCAGGACCGAGCCAACACCCAGCCCATGTGGCGGAACTCGACCTTACACCCATTGAACTGTTGATCAACAGACCTAGGTTCAAAATTCAAATCCTGATGGAATCACACGGACGTCGGACAAAGAAAACTCTGAATTGCTTGGGTTGATGGTGATACCTCAAGGCTGGCACCCTTTTTCACTAACACGTCATTCATACTGCTCATACCCGAGTTCTTAAACCACCAGTATACATGGCCACAGGCAACTGGAGAACCTCCTGTTTTGAGCCTCTCTGGAAATTTAGGAGGCCGTGCGATGTAGATAAAATGAATCGGTGGCGGGCGGCCTCCGAAAAGGGCCTGGGGCCGATAGCTGGCATGTGCTGGTGCTTTAAAGGTGAGCGTAGTGAATATGGTGAAGGCATAGTCTTACCCCATCAGTAATGGTGGAAGGTCGACGTTCCAAGCATTCGGTTGTTCGCCGACTGAAAGTGGTAAACTCATCATTGGCGTGTCAGAGGAGTAATCTCGGACGGAGTCTGACCTTATTACTTCACTATATGCGGAAAAAGTCCTAAAGGACCTAAACTATTTATTAGGAAGTAATAGAAAAAAAAAAAAAAAAAAAAGCGTCCTTCGGGACATCCGTTAAAATTGGAACGCTACAGAGAAAATTAGCATGGCCCCTGCGCAAGGATGACACACATAAATCGAGAAATGGTCCAAATAAAAATAAAATAAAATAAAATAAAATAAAATAAAAAAACCTGAAAAAAGGGATGAACGCATTGAACGGCCATGGGTGCAGAATCAGGGTCAGGTGGTTTAAACTTTAAACTACCAGTACTTCTGAGCCCCCTTTTTCCTGAGGCAGATTTGTGGTGAGCACCAAACGAAAAAGGTAGCGGCCCAGCGTAATTGTTCTCTTTTTGGCTGGCTGTTGCCGCCAGGGAAACAGATCCCGTAGGCCACATGTGCCGGAAAATTTTGCCGGTGAAACAATGCACTGGTGGTTTAAGAGGACTAGGAACACAGAGGCCAGGAAGACAGAAGTCGGGAATGTAGACTAAGAGGATTAATGACCAGGTACGCAGAATCAGTGATTGTAGATTACCAAGATCAACAGCCAGGAACACAGAATCTGTGTAAGTGGGACCTTGTCCCACCTGGTGTTGGGATTCTACTGCTAATCTGCTGACTTGGCGAGCACCTGAAAGCCCTCTGCTGATCATGCGCCATGTGGCGAGAGATGAGATGGGTGATTCTGAAAGTAGCCCAAAGTTTGACATTCGGAGAGCATACTCACCCTGTGACTTTTTTGGATGCATCTGACCACAATTTCGACAGGCCTTCGATGCATCTGACTATAATTGTGTCCACTGTCCACAGCTTAGTTGAAAAAGCCCTACGGTCGATCCCCCAAACACAACACACCGTAATCGTGGATATAGAAAAGCTATACATCCGCTCCGACATGGACATATTAAGGGCGTGTTGTGTCGGGGGAATAGGGAAGTGTTCTACGCCCTGAAATGGAAGCCGCCCTACGGACGGGGGAGAGATATCTGCCACTTGGTGGGACATGGGACAACTGGTTCTGAAAGAAAAAAAAATCGGGGCACCGACAGTCATACTGCGAACACAACAGAGTCAACAGACCCTCAGCATGACTGTATGGAAAAGATAGCTTGTAGGGTCATCGTGTTTGGGGGAAGATGGTAGTGAAAAAAACTCTGGGCATTAAAAAAAAAAAAAAGGTCATGGTCTGGGTCTGGGTCTGGGTCCCACCTACGCCGTGGAGTTGAGGTAGCTTAACATTAACAGTGCGTCAGCTTTTTTTGCTGATAATTTGTGATAAAGAGTTTAAGAGATGTTTTTTTAGTAAATTTTTAATTTTAAGGTTTATAGT